AACCAGAGTCAGGCGAACACACGTGCAGAGAGCACTTATATAACACGAGGCTGGCGGCAAGACGATTTCACCCAAGGCCCACGGAAGAGTAAACACGGTGCTCCGACGATGGAAGCGAGTGTGCCTTTGAAACTTCAGCATAAATACAACTTGGTCCCAGCACTTGCCCCTTCTTCCACTTCCGGAGATGATGAATACGATATGATATCTGGACACCGAATATTTGCGCATATTAAGTCAAAAATTATGTAATGCGCTCGGACAGATATATGAGCGTCCAGAGAGGGTACTTTTCTCGAAGAGAAGATGAGATACTCATTCAATTTGGACAGAAGGTGCTGTTAGTACATGCTGGTCATAAGTTGAAGTGAAACGTACCATATTCCCGAAGAAAGTCCGATAGTTCGAGGAAGAAATGTGTGGCGGACTCCTTGTCTAAAATATTGTCAGGAACAAAAATGCGAAAAAATCTACCATTTACAGGCTCAATTGCTGAGGAGAGGCCATAAAACTGGCACAACTCTGTGACTATCAAGTGAACTGCCTTTGAAAATTCGGGGACTTTCTCGGCCGAGGCTTTTCCATTAGCGTTTATGCTACGGGAAGGTGATTCTTGATTAACACATGAAATAGGCCTACCAGAGTTTGCTAAAGAGCGCGTTCAAAGGATCCTTCTTTGCCTTTCCCATAAGACGAGCAGAAGAGCGTGTGATTCGGTAGTTTTGGAGACGGAAACTTCAATTTTGTAGGAAAGACTATAAGGGTAGGAGTTGGTTTAAAAGAGATTTGACAAAAAGCATAGATGATTAAAAAAAGTATATTTCATCAAAAGAAATAACCGGGTATCCAGCATATGTGCTTTAAACGTTTGGTGCAATCACGTTCCCATAAGCCGCGAGTGGGTGAATTCGCCAATTATTTTAATATTAACGACCAAATTCGTTCGAAGCAGTGAAAGTTTGGACTCCTTCAATAAATTGTCTGATTGTTGACTTAGGCGGATTCTGACGAATGCTAATCTTTTGTATTTGGCGAAACATGACTGATAAAATTAGTTACACTTTACAGGTTAGGTGCGGGGGTGCACAAATAATTTATTTCATTAAAGGCCATTATTTAAAAACAGTTAGGACGACGCGGGAGTGCCATTAAAAGTGATTTGGTAAAGCCATTCTGTTGTTGTCAAATCTTGTTGATCACCAACAGAAAGCGCTAAGCAGTGTCATCCCTCCCGGCCGAGGGTGTGACAGTATCAAAAGAGATTTTTTCCATATTGTTATCCCGACGTTTAAATGAGCGATGTGGTTAAGGATGATAAAATTAACCCAATAAATTAATTTACAAACGGTTGTTGGGTGAATGGGGTCAATCTACGATTACACGAGGTCGTTGAAGATCTCAATTCGGGCTCCACCCAGTTTATAACAGCCCCGGACGGCGGTGACCATCTCTCTTAGCATGCAATTGTACCACATTATTTTCTAAAGAAAACCCTTTACGCGCAAACTCAGGTAAGTAGGAAAGGGACCCGTTTTTGGAAGACTAGAGTAACTTGAAAATGTAAGCATATTACACTTATTTTGCCGGAAATACTGCCTGTTATGGTCATGCATGACGTTCCACACCTGGTGGAAAATTCGGAGGAGAATCTAGAGACTACCTTAGTAGAACATTCTGCTGGACATATAGTAGGCAATCTTGGCAATGGTATTGTAATGGCCGTAACACCAGTATTATGCACCTTAGCTAATACTGGCTTCCATCGGAAGAAAGGTTTTGGCCAGAAATTGGGTCGCCAGTGTTATCTCTTCAAGTGACACCAACGAAAGCCCTGGACTATAACGCTCAAACGGGCTATGCAAGGGAAAAGCATGCAAGTCAAAGGTTCTTTAAGTCTGCGCACAAAAACACTACGTTTACGGACCAGATAATGACAAGCTCACCCGAAATGCCGCGATAAAAGATAACTGTGGATTTTTT